ACCCAGCACTGGGTTGTATTTAACCCAGCATTTTTTAGAGTGTAGAGTGATTTCTGAAGATCATGTGACACTGAAGACTGGAGTAATGATGCTGAAAATTCAGCTGCGCATCACAGGAATACATTACATTTGAAAATATATTCAAATAACAATATTGCTATTTTTACTGTGTAATTTGATCACATAAATGCAGCGTTTGTGAGCAGAAAAGGTGTCTTTCAAAAAAAATTAAAAATAAATCATAATTATTCCAAACATCGGACCAGTAGTGTATAAACATTTCTCGTTTACTCAAGTGCATAGACCATGATTTAGAAAATTTTTTTTTTACTTGAATCATACTCATATGGCCACATATACATTGTCATCTAGTTATATATATGGAGTTCTGACTTGCATTTAAACTCTTGTATCCAAATCTTCTCTTCATTTGTATTTTTGGTCACTGCTGTTTGACATATAGAATAAGTCTGGTCTGAAATCACGACTTGGCTCTCAGGAGAAGTTAGTGAATGCAGGAGAATTCCTACAGAAATCATGGAGGGCAGACAGTTGAAAACAAATGATTTAATATATCTGTAGGGTGATACTATTCAACTATTAAAGTACAACAGAGATGTGTATGACAGTATCTATGACAACATGTATAATGAGCATTCAGTAGTACAATAATGCTGCTGTCAAATGCACTTCCTCTTCAAAATGCCCATCTTGCCAAAGTGTTAATTAGAGATGAGCGTTGTTAAAAATGGCATTCATTTCACTGTTGTGCTGATTAAATAATCAAATTAATCACAAATAATCACATGCCATAATTTGCTGAGAAAAGCTCAGAATGAAGATAATTGAAGACTTTACGTTATTGTAGCAGACATGTAAATTATTTGAATGCACATCGAAAGCTAAAGTGTCTAATATGTCAGTGTCATTACAGTCAACTTTGATAAACTGCCTGTGGTAGAATTGTCAAATTTCACTTTTATCTAAAATTGTATTATTGTAACACCTTTATTTAAAAAATGGTTGATACATATTGTGATATATTCATTACCGTTTAAACGTTTGAGTCAGTAAGATTTTTTTAAGGAAATTAATACTTGCATTCATCAAGGATGTGTTAAATTGATCAAAAGTGACAATAAGGACATTTACAATGTTACAAATATTTCTATTTGAAATAAATGCTGTTGATGTGAAATTTCTATTTAGCAAATAATCCTGAAAATTGAAACTGTATCATGGTTTTCACAAAAATATTCGACAGCGCGACTGTTTTCAACACTGATAATAATCAGAAATGTTTCTTGAGCAGCATATTAGAATGATTTCTGAAGGATCATGTGACACTGAAGACTGGAGTAATGATGCTGAAAATTCCATCACATGAATAAATATATTCACATTGAAAACAGTTATCTTAAATTGTAATAATATTTCATAATATTACTGTTTAACTGTATTTTTTTTCATCAAATAGATACAGAATTAGGAGTCTTCTTTTAAAAAGAAACATTACTGACCACAAACTTTTGAACGCTAGTTTACATATCATGAAAAAATTAGGTCTTACGGTATAAATGCAGCATTTGTGTGAAAGTGAACTGAGTCAGACATTTCTTCCCGTTAATCATTTACTAAAACATTTAATTTCAAACATTTCAAGCCCACAATGTACTTACTGTAGTCTTAGTTCAAACAAACAAGATAATAATTGATGGTGTTACACTATGAAGACGTTTTCACAATAGATTTAACACATCTACCAATTCATGTCCCACAGATTACCACAATGGAGTCTAATCTGAAGTCCTTAGAGGAAGAAAACAAGGTGATTGAACAGCAAAATGAATCTCTCCTGCATGAGCTGGCCAGCCTCAGCCATTCACTGATAAACAGTTTAGCTAATATCCAGCTACCTCATATGGTAAGGGCCACCATCCCCAACCGATAGAGGACAAGTCATGGACAAAGAGCATATTACTTTATTCTGTTCACTTAGAAACATTTAAAGTAACTTTATTGAGCTTTAGGCCGCAGTTCTTGGTGCATTCAGAAAATTTAGCATAATAGTCTGTGCTTCAAACTAGTCCATAGGTGGAAAATTGTAGGAGTCAATTTAATACTTGGTTGTTAAATGTTACCAGCTCTGCTTAAAAAAAACCTGCATAAACCAGCCTGAGTTGGTTTGCTGGTCTTAGCTGATCTCCCAGTCAGGCTGGTTTTATCTTAAGCGGGTTTAAGATGGTTTACCCAGCAACGAGTTAGCTTGAAAACATGTTCTTCAGATCAGTCCCAAAGATTTAGAAGCGTAGACATTCTGATTAGAAGTTTCATTCATCTCATCTCAAATATTTGGTTACACTTTACTTTAAGGTGTCCTTGTTACAGTGTAATTATATACTTAAGTACTGAGTAATATTAATTAACTACATAGGGTTAGGATTAGGGTTTGGCTTAGAGGTACTTGCATGTAATAATGCATAATTAATTGTTATTATAATAGTAAGTACATGTAACATGTAACAAGGACACCTTAAAATAAAGTGTTACCAAATATTTCAGTCATAATCGTATTTGAATCTCCATAGCTTGTTCACTGATTGTCATATTTTGTCAAACTGATATACAATCAATTCTACCGAGTTTGTTAATATTTGAGTTGCTGTGGCTCATTATGTCTATTTCATTAATCACACACAGTGTTGATTACTGTTTATAGGGTTTTTCATTTTGTGTTCAGTTTTTTTGACAATGCTGATTGGCTGTTTCTTAAAGGGGTCATGTGATGCTGCTAAAAAGAACATTATTTTGTGTATTTGGTGTAATGAAATGTGTTTATGCGGTTTAAGGTTAAAAAACACATTATTTTCCACATACTGTACATTATTGTTTCTCCTCTATGCCCCGCCTTTCTGAAACGCATCAATTTTTACAAAGCTCATCGGTCTGAAAAGCGAGGTGTGCTCTGATTGGCCAGCTATCCAGTGCGTTGTGATTGGCCGAATACCTCAAGCGTGTGATGGAAGTGTTACGCCCCTCACCATATTGTGATGATGCCCTGTCCCAGCCATAGCGACGAGACATAAACATTAAAACCCATTATAAATGAGGCATTCATTGCATCCAGTGGGGACATAATTACGGATTATAATGACTTATACTATCTTTTTACGCGTTGCATCGCGCCGCGTAAACATAAATCCCTGTCTGCATTTGTGATCGGAGAAATAACAAACAAACAAGCGCTACTCTACACTGCCCAAAATTCGCGTTTTAATCATCAGTGGCAAATTCTTTAAATATAAAAAACGTACTTACAGTCTGTGAGTCAGAACAGAATAGTCTACTCTCCCAGGATCAGGAAATGGTCCTCCATAAAATGCGCTGCACACATCTGAATATTTGGGTTGAACTGTGTCCTTTTGGAAGGCCAAACAAAGTAGTTTCGCTTTCACAACGAAACACAGCGTCACACACGGCGGCCTAGAGTGAGCGGAGGCCAACGGGCTTAAGAACGGCACGGCCGGCGGGCTTGCGGCAACCACATTTGACGACCCCGGGCTGGACTCCGCTTCGTCCACGGTGAAAGTCGATCCACCAGCACGGATCAGCTCCAGGGATGACGAAGCGGATATCGTCCTCTTTTGGAAGACCAAACAAAGTAGTTTCGCTTTCACAACGAAGCACACAGCGTCTTCACGACATGGTGGCGGCAGCAACAATACTACAGCGAGAATAAAAGTTACGCCTTCTTTCTTTGCGTGAACATTTGGGCGGCGTTATGCAAATCTTCCCACATCGTGACGTAGACATGTGGGGGCGTGTTAGAACGAGCCGTTTTAGGAGGGCGTCTTTTATAAAGAATATCTCTTTGGATTTGAGACTTTAGTCTTTGCAACTTTACAGATCTTCTTTATGCACCAAGAGCTTGTAAGGCTCCAAAGAGAAAGAAAAAATTGAAATCGCATCATATGAGCCCTTTAAAAGATGTAGATGAAGCTTATTCTCAGGAAACTGTGACTTTTTCTCTCTTTTATTTTCGACTTCCACTTCATTTGAAAAGTTTACTGCTGAACTTAAAGAAGTCGCATTTTCACACCTAAATCAATCCCTTGTGAAAAAGAAGTGTACTTAATTGTATTGAATGTGCACTTGTAGTGTACTTTAGATCTTAAAAGTACATTTAAAAGAAACACTGTTCTTGCAGGTAATATATTAATGAAATAAAAGGCCACTTAAATGCACTTAAAGAGAGACACTTTCATGACTATAATTCACACTTAAGTACATTTTGTAATTATGTCAAATTGAAAGTTATGTACTTTATGTATCTCAAAGTACACTTTTATCATGATTTAAAGAAGTACACGTATTTTAACTAACATACTAAAGCACAAGTACTTGATTAGAATTTTAACTGTAGTTTGCTAATTAAAGTTAATATATTTGATATGTACTACATTGTAAAAGACTATAGAAATGATTATGAAATTACATAAAAGATGAACTTAAGTCCTACTTGAGTGGGCCAAAATGCATGTTTACGTTCAGGTCACAGTATTTAATTCAATCATTTAATTGTAAATATTGTTTTCAATTTTATTAACGATTTTTGTAGTATTCAAGGGTGAATTCACTGAACTTGTGCCACTTTTATCAAAGTAAGAATAATCAGCAGCTTATCCCTTTTACATACAAAATGTCAATGCAAAACCAGCTAATAGCTGCATTAACTAGCTGATATCATCATATAGCATCACATTACATCACTTTATGCATTGTCAATATCTTTGCAAAGTCTGCAAACAAAACAAAACAAACAAAAACAGTTTTTCCAGATGCGTTCTTAGATTGGGTGTTAAGACAGAAGGGCCAGGTCTTGAATGTATTGAGCATGTTATTTGCTGTAAGCTAATACACTTTTTGTTTTTACCTCTAGAAATCACTTCACAAAGAGCCTCCAGTTAGACATAGCAGCTGTTTACATCAGAGAGTAAGGCCACAGTTTAACTCTTACCCTTTTCATACATTTGAATATTTGCATGCTGTGAATACTATGTCGTTTATATCAGTCAATTGTAAATGGCTGAGCGCCGTTGGTGCTAGTCATGCTAAAAGTCATTACTGATTTATTCTTATGCATTCATGTCCCCCTGAATAGATTTTGTTGTTCATGCTTAATACTGACTTTTCACTGAATCAATTTTTAATAACCATTCAGTCAGCTTTAGTCCTTCACATATTTTTTTCCCATTAATGAATGCTACCAAATCCAGCCATTCCCATTTAGACGGAATTGACCGAATAAATGATGTTTACCACAGATGTTTTATGTTTACACATTGTATTTCTTTTAATTCAAAAGTTTTATTGTGGCTGCAACAAGTTGTTTGAAGAATTCACATCAGGGTTTGCAAAATTCATGATTTAAGAATTGGCTTCCTTTCAGTTCACAACTGTCAGTGTGAATTGAATTAAGTTCACACACTAGAAGTTGAATTGCAATGAAAAGAAATGAACATTTTGCATTTGAAATCACAGTCACGTAAAGGTTTTGTGACAAAACCTAGTTTTGACAAATGATGCTATTATTATGTTTTCCCTGATACACATTATGAGCCGTTTTATGATAATAAATCTTAAAACGAAGTTTTATTTTGCATATAGTAGCAAAAACAATGTCCACCACATTGTTCTCAGATCCCTTCATAATAAATGAATAAATAAATCTGGGAACTGAAGTTGGGGGTTACAAATGAATAATGTTAATTGTAATATTTACAGCAAGAATTTTCCATAATGCTACTTTAAAATAGCATGAACTATGAAAACAGACTTGATTATTATCATCGAATGTTTCTGCAAATAGCCCATATGTTTTTGGCCAATTACACAGACTGCATTTATTTATACAATTATGCATCCTGTGAATTGTAGACAGGAATAGCAATAATCCAAGAACTGTATTATAATTAAAGACTTAATTCTCAGAGGTGTATAACCCAGATTCATGTTTTGTCATCATCTTCCACATACTGTATTTCATCTGACAGGAGCTTTCCTCTGTGTTTGACAGGAGCCGATGAGCGAACAGAGCTTTGACGCATACGTGACCACGCTAACGGACATGTACACCAATCAAGATCACTATCAGAGTCCAGAGAACAAGGCCCTGCTAGAAAATATAAAACAAGCGGTACAAGGCATTCAAGTCTAGCATCTCAGAACGTTCCTAAGGTGAAGGAATACTGGGGAAAGAAAAAAAAATCATAATAATCATATGGGATGCCTCATGCTTTGCTGTTGTAGTTTATCAAAGTGTTAAATTCATGTTCTTTTAAAAAGTGTTATGCTGACTAACCATGATTTTTTTTTAAACAGGGTTTATTTTTTCTGGCCTTGCTTTGAAAAAAAAAAGATCTGCAAAATAGTTTTTTGAAAGTATTCACATTTTGTACGTTTTCATATTGGCTAATGTGACTCCTTCTTCTGGCTGCTCATTGATGCACCTTTTTAGTGTATATTTCTGAACAGTAATGCACCCACTACTGAACATTAGTTGATGCTTGCTGAAAGAGTGTCACGAACTGGAAAAAGGTAGCCACTGAACATTTCCGCTCATTTTAAAGATGTTTTGTGCCGTCTATGAAATGGCAAGGGTTTCTTTTTATCATTAAAAGTATAGTTCACCCCAAAATTTTAATTTGCTGAAAATACACTCATCCTCAGGCCATCCAAAATGTAGATTAATTTGTTTACTTGTTAGATTTGGGGAAATGTAGCATTCCATTACAATGGATGCTCTGCAGTGAATGGGTGCCGTCAGAATGAGAGCCCAAACAGCTGATAAAAACATCACAATAATCCACAAGTAATCCACACCACTCCAGTCCATCAGTTAATGGCTTGTGAAGCCAAAAGCTGCGTGTTTGTAAGACACAGATCCACCATTAAGACATTTTTAACTTCAATCCGTTGCTTCCTCTACTATTACTTTCTGCAGTGAAAAAGTCAGCTTGTCCGAATCATAAGAGAAATATGTAGAGATCAAGCACCATTTACAAGCCGTATAAGTGCGGGTGGATTTTAATGTGAGACAACAAAAGGAGATGGACTTTTTCACTGGAGGAACAATATTATGGATTATGGACTCATATTTTGGCCAGAAGTGGCAGTTTGAAATAAAAAAAATGTCTTAATGGATTTGTTTCTTAAAAACATGGATATTTTTGCTTCACAAGATGGAGTGGTGTGGATTGCTTGTGGATTATTGTGATGTTTTTATCAGCTGTTTGGACTCTCATTCTGACGGCACCCATTCACTTGCAGAGCATCCATTGATGAGCAAGTGATGCAATGCTACATTTCTACAAATCTGTTCCGATTAAAAAACAAACTCATCTAACATCTTGAAAGGCCTTGAAAGGTGAGTTCATTTTCAGCAAATTTTCATTTTTGGGTGAAGGATTACTTTAATAGCATCTATCAATTAAAGGAAAGATGTGTAAAAAAAAACAAAAGGGGGGGTGGTGTTAAAAACAAAGAACATAGAAATTAATTTGGTTTGTGAATGTTTTATTTTAAACGTCATGGCACAGAAAGCTTACGGTGGAGACCCTGTTACTGCTTCAAAATGCAAAAGGAAATGCTTTGATTATTTATAGCTCCGTCATTTAATCTGCATCAATGTAACTGCAATAGCGGCTCGAAACATCACGTTGTGATTTGGTCTCTTCTTGAAATAACAGTAGCCGGAATGGAACTGTCTCAGCAATATATGACTTATCCATGTGTATATATATATAAAAAAAAGAGATGCAATCTATGGTGGGTATATGCAATTTCATGTTTGTAAACAGTGGAAGCTACAAAATCTTTTTACTATATGTAAATGATTGATTTTTATATAAATCTTTTAATACAAATGTTTTAAAGGGACGGAAAGTTGGAAATTAGGTTTAGAGACGTACAATGCTCTACACATTTGTTTCCATGCTTGGATGTTTGTACAGTATGGAAACTAAAGCGGAAGGCATCTGTAAAGAATATAGACAATGAAAACGGGACCTACAGGGTTTTTGCCCCCCACTTTTGTGCCAGAAGACTATTTGCACTTATCCCACCTTCGGTCGATGTGCAATCTCCAAGTGTCTCTTTGGCACGAGGAAGTCGTGATGACAGACGTTCAGCGGTTTGAGGAGATCAGAGATTACAGGGATTTGAAATATTAATGAGGACAATATCTTTACGAGAAATATTGTGCATTTTTAAATAACAATGCTAGTTCGTTGAGTATGTTCTATATCATAAAAAAATGTATCCCCAGCAGCACTTTATGTCTAATCACTGTACAAAATCATTAAAGAGTAGTCAATCGAAATAAAGCATTTTAAGAAAAAAATCTCCCACTGCAATGGGATCGGTTGTTCAAGTCAGCGGTAGAGTTTGGGGGTGTTGCGGCATTACGTGCACGCCTAATTTCCATTGTACTATTAGCTGTAGCAATCTTGTTAATACCTTATTGAGAGCTAAGGTGCTTGTACTTCACTGGATCTCGTCCATTGTACTAATCAGTCCTTTTTTAGGGCTCCATCATTCATGTACAGCATCACATCTGCAGCTTTTTGCCAATATAGTAATGCTTTCGATAGAGAAATTGCTAGTATCAGTTTTTGAATCGATTATCGTCATCGGTACAATGGGAATTTAAGCACAAACATGCTGCTCATTTACTGTCGGTGCATAATATACCTTTTTTTTTTAAACATATGTGACTAATTACTCAAGGTAAGATGAAAGAAGTCACATATTCGAATGCCGAGTTTTCATATGAATTATTGTGAATTCATGAGTTTACTTATCTGAAATGTTTCATTTCAAGGTTGATTTGTTTAATCGCTAATGAAGACGGGATTTTGTATAAACTATCGTGCTCTCTGTGGAACTGGAGTTTGATTTATTTTTGTACAATGCAGCATGAATTTGTTTTGATTTTACTATAAATGTGTGAGATCACAAGTTACAGTGGTTTTTCATTTTTAAAGTGTGAAATTTGTACAATATTTGTCATGCTGGATGTTGACACATCGTACTCTGAATAAAGAAAATGGTGTTGCCACAGACTTGACTACATCTTCTATGAATGCAAAATAAGTTAGAGAAGAAGAAACGTATGAACTCAAGGAAAATGTAGCTTTAAAATGGCGAGGTCACGGACACACTGCTGCTGTGTTAATTCTAGTCAGTGTAATCTTTAGTCAGTGTGCGACTAGGATGAGCAAGGTGCAGTATCTGTCTTCCTGTGAAGGTAAATGTCTAGAGAAATACATGCAATAATCATGAACTGTTGTTGCAATTAATATTACAAAAACATATTTCTGAAAAATCTCAAATACTGATCTCTGTTCCTTGTTGTGCACGACTCTTCCTATCTACATGCTGCTGTTTGAGTGACAACGGGCAAGGAAGATCACTGAACACCTATAAATTACCAAAGTTCAATCATTTGAATATCACATATAAACACTGGAGTTGAGAGAATTTGATTGACATTATGTGTGTTTTTGATGTTGATGTTGCGTGCTGCTTGGATGAACAAGGTATTTTTCCGTCCATTTAGGAAAATAAAAATAGGCATGTACATCATAAATGATTCAGTTTTATTGAAATAAGTAAAACATGTATTTGTGAAATATCATTCTAATACTGGTTTTCTCTGTTGTGCATGGCTGTCTACATCTATTGTACATTGTACGGTTCAAGCCGCCTAAGTAGTAAATGTGACAATAACACGGTAAGTTCAGTAACCCAAATTTTCCCTACTGTAAAATCAGAATGCCTTTCCTTTGAATGCATCAGAAAATCACTGTATCTGTATGGTCTTAGATGTTTCTTTCCGTGCTTGGCTCTGTTCATCTACATGCGCTCCATAATGGCAAAAAGGGTCGTTTGACAACATTAACACAGTAACCCAATTTTTTTTTTTAACTGTGCAGGCTGAAGGATCTGGAGGTGAACAATGGAAGAAAATATGTTAGACGTGCTACTGTCCTTGCTAGTCCTTGGAGTCATTAACATCCATCTGGACCAGGGATGGGCAACTAGCGGCCCACGGGCTGGATTAAATGTGGCCTGCTGGACTGTATTATATTTTAAAATGAATGGAATGATTGCTTTTAGATTAGGATGTCAATACTAACTCCAACCAGGAGAAATAGCTCGTTTTCAGCTGATCCCTGTATTAATTACAGCATAGTAGGAGTTGCGCGCTAAGGTGAACGCTCACCAAAATTAGCAGAAAGAAGTGAAAGATGGACTATTAAAATCATGGTTTCCAGTCAAGACCCATTTGTTTGGTTTGTTTAGAAATAAAATCTGTAATGAAAGATTTTAATTTAAATTGCCGTTACACCACTGCTCACAAAGAGAAGTATGAAAGATACACCACTTATCTCAGATATAAAACGTAAGTTACATAATCAACAAAACCTAAACGTTTTTGCCAAATGCATGACAGAAATATATGCACTAAATTGTTAAGTTCTTATACTCAGTATTTTCATTCATGGTAATATGTGGAGTATGGTAATACCATTTGGAATAACTACAGTATATTTTGAATAAGCATTTTTTTAACTGTTCCCCGAGATGTGTTAAGAAGGTTTTGTAGGCGCGTAATCAAAAGCAGGACAGCTGCACATTTGCTTGTTGCAAATTTACAGACAATGCAATTGAAATATTTGCATTTGCTTGTTGGGGTATTATTGCTTGTCATTTGACAACAAACTTTCCCATTTGATTTAGCAGAATTTGTATAGTTAATACAATCTGAGTCTGTCCTGTGTTCATCCATAACTGTCTGGTTTGGTTCAGCAACCAAATCAGACATCAAGAGACTACAACGGACAGTCAGGACTGCTGAGAGGATTATTGGTGCCCCTCTGCCCAGCCTCCAAGATCTTTACATCTTCAGAGTGAGGAAAAGGGCTGGTAAAATCACCTTGGACCCCTCACACCCAGCCCACTCTCTCTTCGAACTGTTGCCTTCTGGTCGGCGCTACAAAGCACTGACCACCAGAACAGCCAGGCACAAGAACAGTTTTTTCCCACAGGCTATACTTAGTCTGAACAATTAATCTTTCATAATTATACATCGTCCATCACAACTAACATAGTATATTTATATTAAACGGCACACTTTGTAAATAACATATCTGCACACTAATAAACATATCTGTACATTTATCTAAACAATTACATTTTTTCCTATACTTCTATTTCTGTATATAGTACATTATTCCATTTTTCTTTTCTTTTTTATTATATTAGTGTTATATTACATCCCTACTGTGTTCATCATGTATGTCTGCACTATGTCTGTACTTTCTTCTGCACTGGAAGCTCCTGTCGTCAAGTCAAATTCCTTGTGTGTGTAAACATACTTGGTAATAAAGCTCTTCTGATTCTGATTCTGATCTGTAAAGACATTTATCAAATTAGTAATGTACAAACATTAATTACAGGCTAGGTACATTGCATGAACAGACTCCTATTCTGAAAAGCTGAAATGATAGGGGAGGGGGGTTATTACAAAACTGAAACACCAAAGTTATTAATTATTGGTATATTTAATTATAGATCTGTATATTGATTTTTTTTTTTTTACATATTTTACCGGTTTTTTTTTTTACACTTATTTTTATATATATATATATATAGTTTTCAGTACTATAGCTCTCCACAGTTGTCTGCACTTGAGAGGGTTTAATACTTAATAGAGAATTTAAGTATGCATACTTAGACTGCGTACTACGTCGATGCCGGTAACGCACGTACTTTGAAGTGTGTAGTATGCGAAAGTTTAGTAGGATGGGCTTTTCTCGTGAAGATGATTGAGGAGGCTCTGATTGGTCTTGCATGCCGCACACGGGCTGTAACACTGCCCTACTTCCCACTGGATTCCTGCACACCGCTCTCACGGCGCACTGGCTGGTCATGGCGTTGCGGACTGTCCGAAACGTACCCTGTGTTTTAAGTGTACTCGGCGTGTTGCTCCTCAGCAGTGGCCCATCCCGAGTCTTCTCATGTCCGAGCCGCTGTTTATGTTTCCGTACCACTGTCAGATGCATGCATTTAAACCTGGAATCAGTGCCCGCTGTTCTTCCTCAGACAACAATCCTGTGAGTACACTACTCTTTTTTTTTCTCTGAGAGACACTGTCGTTAATGTCTTTTGTGTGCTTACCTGCTTTGTTTGTTTGTTTTTCATCTATTGTTACAAATATTACAAACTAGTAGTTAGTACGTTGTCAGTGTAATTCTTATTGTTGAGGGTCTGAGTCAGAGTTGCGCTCACCGGATGCATACTAAGTACAGATGAGTCTAAGTGGCAGCGTTTCGCTCCGTGCTCTGATTAACGTTGCGTTCCTCATCTGGACTAGTCTTTGTCTCACAACTTTAACCCTAAACCTACCCACCCAGGCAGCATTGTGGGCGTCATAGTAGCGATTCGAGTCAGCTAGATGCTGATGCATACTCAGACTCAAATGATGCATGTACTTATATGATGCTCTTAATTACTGGAGCATATGCCATGGGGCCTGTTCCAGTATGAGACAATATGCCACTTGAGAGCACGTGTTTGTGCCACGGAATAATAATAATAACAAAGTAATATAGTAAAAATGACTTTTTATAGCAATTGTGAGTTTATATCTCACCGTTCTTGATTTTTATTTTCAAAACTGTGAGTTTATGTCCCACAAATCTGAGTTTACGTCCTTGTATTTCTGAATTTATATATTTAGAATTGTTTCCATTGTGCAGATATGAACGTGCATTTTGTAAAATGCTTATAGCTTAATAGAAATCACTACACTGCGTTGACTTAATAGACATTTAGAAGTTAAAGTACTTGTTTAAGTAGGTGCTAAAAATCTAAATGTGTAAAAAAAAAAAAACCTTTTTGAGTTTTTAAGTGTGTCCCATCTGGGTAATCAAAAGTTGTGCACGCTTGTGGTCTTCAGGCCCACTTGAACACTTTGGCCAAATACTGGTGAAATCTCATGTAGGTGGACAGATGCAAAGACTGCAAGTGTGGGGCTTGGGACAGGCCATTACAGAAATGCTGCATGTTATGTGCTACAATGCTGTCTAGATAGGCAGCACACTGAGGTTTTGAGTCGTAGCCAGTGGCAGTCCAGATGAGTGGATCCTATCGTGTTCAGCTCACAGACTTCAGCACTGACATGGTTAACGAAACTTGACAGTGTTTGCAAAGAAAGGTCAAAACCTTTGCATGTGCTTTTTTCATTATGTGTGGAGATTGAGTTGTTGGTTGAAATGAATCATGATCGTGTGTGTGTTTGTGTTGGGTCGGTTTGATTTTGATTGAGCCCATTCGTCACAAACCATTTTGATTTGTGTTATTGTTGAGAGTTATACATGTTTTATAGCAAGGATGTAACCAAACACATATTGGTGGATCTGAAACGGGGCTATTAAATAGCATTGTATTCCACATAAGGGTGGGAAATAATGCACTTTGTGAGGCCCTCTGATTTCAGCCATATGCAGCACTTTGTCAAAAATTAAAAGGAATTATAAAATGTTCATTTGATTACATTTAAGATTAAGTTAATGTTTTATGACCTCATTTGATTATCACCATTTTTGGTAATAAATTTGTATTTAATCATAAATCCAGAAAAATTAAAAGACAACACAGAAATTATATATCATAAACTTTTTTTATTTATTTTTTTATTTATTTTTTTTACAATAAGAGACTATTATACATGCTTTTCGATTATTAAAACAGAATCCCGAAAAAATTAAAACACAGAATTTGGGAAAAATAAAACAGAATTTAGGAAAAAAAATAAAACAAATGTCATTGGACCCTAAAAATGTAATTTTTGTTGAACTTCTAAAAAAAAAAAGGTGTTAAATTGCATATGTTTCAGGATTTCAATTAATTAGCATGCTTTTCGATTACAATAATTTGATCTAATTATTACAACGGAATCTTGAAAAATAAACGGAAATGAAAGAATTTGGGGAAAAAATAATTGGAATTTGGAAAAAAAAATACAACCGATTTCATTGGGCTGTAACTTTGCTCAGTCTGTATCACCTCTTATGGTGTAAAGTGTTGCCTTTGAGGCTTTGATGTAATTGTAACAGTAACAGCATTGTTTTACACAGTCTCTCCTGACTAATGAATGAATGAATGTTTTTTTCAGCAGCTTCTTTAATGAAGTCTTTTATGTGGGTCACTGTGTTAAAGCTCCGTGTTTCAGTCTCAACAGGAACAGTGTGAACTCATGACCAGATGCATAATGATGCTGAATATCACACCATCAGTCTGCGTCTGAACCTTTTGGCAATTCAGAGCTGATGTTTTATAGATAGTAAGACAGAAAAGAGTGGATCCCAAATTGCTCTGAATTTGCAATGCATTCCTCGGCTGGTTTTAATAGCCCCATGTGACAGTTGTATGCATTTGTTTCCAGACCCACAATGCATCTGTGCAACTGCAAACAGACAGAGGCCTGCATTCAGATTTGTGGCTGATTGCAAAGGAGTGACTTAAACTCAACGGGGATGCAGAGTGCTCTCCATTAGCAGAACTCCACATCTGTCTGCAAGACGCCCATCCAGAAACTGAAGCCTCTTGCCTTCAACAGCGCTGGCCACAGCTGAAATCCTGATTGAGGCCAGCACATTATTATGCTTTTGAGGTCTGTCGTTGTGTCTGAGCAATAGGAAAGTGTGGTGTGAAACTTTGTGTACTTTTTAGACTCTTCATTTTGGGAGAAACATAGGGCCCTGAGAAATCAGTTTTATTTATTTATTTTTCAAAATCCCATTAAGTTTTTTTTCCCAATTGGTACGTTTTTTTTTTCCGGCATTCCATTTTCAGTTTAAATGTATTGTATGAATTGCCCTTACTATGGAATAAAAAATACGGAGTGCATATTTACATTTAGTGAAAAGTGGCTGTAGAACATTAGCGCCAGTGGCGCAGATGGATAAGCGCTTGCCCTTGGCTTTTTGACGCGAATTTGTCATTGTGTTTTCTGACTTGATATATTGTTTTCAGAATTGTGATTTGTTCTGCACTTCTCTGCCACCGTAGTGTTCACCTCGTCTACTTGTGATCCGATCAACCAAAACCCATCTTAAATACCAGGTGTAAACAGGGCCCTTGCTTTCCTGCGATTGATTTACAAAAACAGCAATAAATTAATTCAGTAATTTCACAGCTTGATAGTTAAAACGGTTGCGGCACATCTGCATTGCTGTTGCTGTCAATCTTTGGCTTTCCAGTAAAGAGTCTCTCTCCCTTTCCATATATTATGTAATACAGACAAAGGCGGCGGAAGTATTAGCATTAAGATACAGTAAGAATGAATGTGATCATTTGGGCCACTTTTCTGACCATGTTAGAATAAAATGGCAGCCTTTAGCCTATTATAGAGTCTGTTGGCAGTAATTCGTTGCTTAGAAGGCATGCTGTTGTTTCACATGAGTTCACTATAACAGAATGTTCAGTATTCATTTTTCCAGTGTCTAAATGAGCTTAACAACATCCTGCTCCAGTCTGGCACGAGTCAACACTGTATCTAAAGAACGTCAGTGACTCTTTCCACCACTGGATCATTTCTTTTCCACCTGCTATCTCAGAAGGATCCTGTCAAGCTTTACCTCTTTACCATATGTGGTACTACTGTTATCTTTAATATTGTTCTGTTGTTCTAATTTTAGCAGGCAAAAATAGTAGAAATAGTTTTTGCAGAAAACTGTCTAACTCTTACTTTAACAGGGTTTTTGCGGGTCCTTTAAAAGTCTTAAAGGGATAGTATTAGTTCATCCAAAAATTACAATTTCCTTTTACCCTCTGGCCTTCCAACATGTAGGTGATGCCTTTTTACTTCAGAAGAACGTCAAAAAAAGCATAACAGGCAACACAAAATCCTGACGATATACTGAGGGTTTTATGAAGAGAAACAATCAGTCTGTGCAAGAAACTGAACATTATTTACAACATTATTACCTGTAATCCACAGCCTCAGGCAAACGGGGAGATCCGACTATTTTCTGCAAACTGGTTCTTTTGGACAATTTGTTTCTAATGCAAATGACCAGTTTACCAATTATTTTATGTTAATAATGCACTGGTGTAACAAATACACAATTATTATTATTATTAAAGCACCCAATAATGATGTGAAACATGATTGTTTTACATGTATAAAACATGTAAAGTGAATAAACTAGTCCTAATCAGCTTAACCTTTTATGAGAAATCATAAAACCTTAATTTCACTGCTTCATTCAAGTGCTGGGTTCACGCATGCTCATATCAGCGGCTCATCGGTCTTCGGTCCAAGTCGAACAGTTTCCTCAGTTCACTGATTGTTGGAGGAACTGAAGCGCTGAATGAGTTGGCAAAAACTGGCATCATAGGATCATATGCACTGGTATATTGATGGAGTGACTGTCGGGCACGTATGAAAGTAAGTTTTGATTGAGTAACTTGTAGATCTGTGCTACTCAAGCCATGAACTCTAATAAATAAATAAATGTGATCGGTGCACATTCAAAGCAAAAATGCACTGCTGTTGTGCGTTTTACAGACTTGAGGTTTCAGAGCAGTTTTCAATCGATGAAAACCATGCATTTGTGCCAAACGATTTCTTATAAGTGTCTTTGTAAAGTATTCTGGGCTTGATTGTAATCCAAGTATTGTGTTATGCATAAAACATGTTTTCTGGATATATTTTGGTTACACAATACACTGAATTTGGCATTTAATTCAACATAAACTCGTGTGGCTTGTGATCACCAGGAAAAACTAAGAAAATAGCACATTGAATAAATAGATTTTACTAGTATTGGCACAAAAATCTGCCCATTGCCTTTCTTTAAACATTTAAACATTGTATGTTATTATATATTTCAATGCAATGCTCTATGTATAGAGATTAAACATGTCTTCAGTATTTTAAACTTGCAGTTACCATGATTTGCAGTTGAATGTGACCCACAGCCTGTTTATTTAAGTAAACAAATCTGTGCTACATATAGATAGATAGATATTGTATGGGTTTGCTCTGCATTAAAGGGGTCATATGATGCGATTTCAATTTTTCCTTTCTCTTTGAAGTGTTACAAGT